TCCCCCCCACCTGCCCAGCGCACACCTGCCCTCTGCACTCCCCCCCATCTGCCCAGTGCACACCTGCCCCCTGCACTCTGACTCCCCGGTGTCCTGGGAGGCCAGAGTGTGGAGTGACTGCTCTGCCCCAGAATTCACTCAGAGCTGCTTCCCCACCACCAGCCCCAGGCACGCGGCTCCCTGCCTTGACACGGCTTTCATACGTCAGCACATGGAAGTGGGAAGGGCCCTAATGGCTTTCGTGTCTGCAGCCTCGTGGGTGCTGTCTGCCTTCTGGTGTGAGATGCCCGGTTAGGGTGCGGTGGCCTGGCGACCGACGTGGTGTGCCCACGGGGCCTGGCCACCGTCCCTGTGAACCTTGGGCACCTCCCCACCCCCAGAGGCTGGTCTTCGGTCTGAGAGTGTCGCGCGGTGCACACAGGTTCACGCTCTGTGCAGTGGTGTCTCCTGCAGCCTGGGTGGTGCTGGGGCAGATTGCTCGTTCCTTGTCCTTCATATACGCAAGGACCGACTTCTTTAAGGGGCGGTGTCCGGGCCTCCCGCTGCCCTGGCTGCGCAATTCTTCCGGGAAGGCAGCTGGGCCCCTGGAAGGCAATTCCAGGAGAGGGGCCCCGGCCATGGGCCATCACAACTCCTCGGCTCTGCTGATGGGGGAGACTGGAGGGCAGCCGTGGGGCGAGGCTCTGGGTCTGGGTTTGCAGGAAAGGTCTGGGGAAGTCCCGGGCCCCTGCGTGTCTACACAGCAGGTGCCTGCGGGGACGCCGGGGGTCACCTGCAGGCCACAGCAGCGCACCGTCTTCCCACGGAAATGACCTCGTGTTTTCAATGTCAGCTCAGCTTTTTATAACTGGCTCCCACTCCTCAGCATTTACGGCTGTTTCCATGAGTCAGACCGTGTTTTTGTTGGTGTGTGCATGTGTGTGTGCGTGCGTGCATGTGCGTGTGTGATGATTTCTGGGCTGCAGAGATTTCCTGGAACTTCTGAGCCGTTGCTAGGACTGCCTGAACTCGCCGGGTGCCCTCCGACCCCGGCTCCCCCCGACCTGAGCCGGACTCCTCTCCCCTGCCCGGGGAGAAAGAAGGCCGCCCGAGCCTTGTGGTGTCTGTCACCAGGTGTCACCCTCTTGGGCTCACTTTGCTGCTCAAGTACCGAGTCCCCGGCACCGCCAGGCCCAAGTTCTATTCAGGTGTTTCCTCCCAACGCCCCGCCCCGAGGCCCAGGAATAGGTTAGTTTCATGAGTCACAGCGCTGGCTCCTGACCAACGCGCAGTTCTTGGCCGCGGTCCCTGCAGCCTCAGAGCCGCTGTTGGACACGAGGGTCCTCGGGACCGGATCGGACCGGGCGTGGCCGTGTGAGAGGCCGGCGTGATTGTGCTCGGAACGCCCTGAACTTCAGTAACATTCAGGGAAACGTGGCTGCCTGTGGCCTCGCGTGGCCTTGCCTGCCGTCCACGCCGGGGACCGTGGAGCGAAGCTAAGCCAGCTCTCGGGCTCCCCCGTCCGCGGAGTCTTCCTTTTCCTTCTCGTAACGGTGCCTGCTTTGCTTTCTCTAGGCTTTTCGAGAAAGACATGTCTGACAAGATGTCGAGTTTCCTGCACATCGGGGACATATGCTCCCTGTACGCGGAGGGATCCACAAACGGCTTCATCAGCACGTTGGGGTAAGAGCACCTGCCTTCTCCTGTGGCCGCGTCTGTCTCAGGCGGCGGCCTAACGCGGTGGTTTTGCTACGATGAGGATGCCGCCGTGTTACTCGGCTTTTCCGGGCTCAGCTCAGACTTTGTCGTAATCCCCTCCTTCCCGTAGAAGGGGGCGTGCTGAGGATGTGGGGTAGCATCTGAGGTCCGTGATCACAGGCCCAGAGGAGCACTGTGAGCCTCACAAGAGCCCCCTCGTCAGACGGGGACGCGTGTCGTGGAAGCGAGACCAGAGGTGCTCGGAGCCCATCTTTCTTGGAAGCAGAGGCTCCTACTTGGAGTTGCCGTTGGCGTTTGAAAGATGCAAACTGCACGGAGCTCTGGCAGCCAGATCGTTGCCCTGTTGTGCTTGCTTCAGCTTCCAGCTGCTCTGAGCAGCCGACTGTGTTCTTGTCCCCTCCCCGTGTCGTGTAGAGGGGGACGGACAGCACAGCCCTGGGCGGGGACGGGAGGTAGAAGCGGGTGCCCAGCTCCAGAAGTCGGGGTGGGCCGCGCTGTCGGTGAGGGGCGCAGCGAGGCCGGCGTGGCATTGCTGGATTTGGCCGGAGCTCGTCGCAAATAAATGGGGGGAAGGAGGCCGACAGCTCCTCCAGGGACCTCCTCCTCCCGGGAGCCAGGCCTTCCTGTAACCAGGGCTGTGAGGGAAGCTGTGCACGCTCTCGGGAGGGTGTGCGGGCGTGGGGGTGGGGGAGAGGGGGGTCCCCGGCTCACGTTCCCGTCACCTCAGCCTCAAGGAGCAGGTGTTGCAGACACAGAATTGCAGCTCGGTTGGAGCCCGCCCACTGTATGAGAGTTCATTTCCGGGAGTCCCTCGATCAAAGCTCGCCTGTGGCTTTTGGCAAAGAGGCCTCTGTCGCTTGGGCCGCTCTGCCCCCTTTTCCTTTCTGGCCGATTCCTGCCATCTCCCCGTCCCTGCGGGGGCCTCTGTCATCCTCCTCATTTGTCAGCCAGAACGGCAGCAGCACTGATTCCGCGAGTCCGTGGGCGTCCCCAGCAGGGTGCCTGCATCGCTGCACCCACATGGGCCCTGCAGTCCCCAGGCAGCGCTGACAGTGCGCCCTGTCGCTGTCGCTGTCCGTGGAGGTGAACCTCTGAGAAGCGGAGAGGATTGGCCACCTGCCCGGGGGTCACAGAGCAAAGAGTCGGGGCTCCAGGACCGCGCTCCTAAGGGTGCCCTGGTGGGCTGGCTTCCCCGACTGCCCTCCTCGCTCGCTCTCAGCCCACAGCTCTGATCTGGATGCCCTGTTCATCCTCCATCCCGTCGTTCCTCCGTGGCCCCAAGTTCTTTTAATGGTGCCACCCCCTCCAGCCCCCAGGCTCCCTGCGGGTCAGTGCTGAGTGCTGGGACCATCCTCCCCCAGCCCTGAAACCATGGGGCTTCCTTCCCCTGAGGCCTCTGCCTCTAGGGCAGTGGTTCCCAACCTTCTGGCCCTTTAAATACAGTTCCTCATGTTGTGACCCAACCAGAGTTATTTTTGTTGCTACTTCATAACTGTAATGTTGCTACTGTGATGAATCATCATGGAAATATCTGAGATGCAGGATGGTCTTAGGCGACCCCTGTGAAAGGGTCGTTTGACCGCCAAAGGGGTCGAGACCCACAGGTTGAGAACCGCTGCTCTAGGGTATCTGGTCATAGAATTCTGAGGATGTCGAATTGTTAATGAAGGTTTTCTTCAAAAATTACCAGCAAATGAGCGCTAAGCTCCTCCTCCTCTTTACTGGGGGGTGGGGTGGGGGAAGGGGAGGTGGTGGCTCCTCTTAACACTTCCCTCAGCGGCCTCTGTCCTTCCCTGGCCCCTGCATGCAACATTTGAGGAAAACTGGGATGAAAGTGGATCTGGGAAACGCGGCTTGGCCTTTCCATCCCCCTCTTAACCCTTTCCCCCTGTGTGGGCCCGGGTGCGGGTGAGGAGGAGTGGCCCTGGCCGTGGGACTCGGCTTCCTCCCCGCCGGCTCCCCTGCCTCCGAATGGTTCCCTGACAGGCTGAGCTTCAGGGCCAGTGAGTGTGGCACGTGCGCATCAGAGGGGGCTTGAGTCTCCGCGGAGCCGGTTAGAATATGGGGTCCCAGCCCGGGATCCAGCTCAGTCGGCCTGGTGGCGGGGACTGAGTGAGGGTAGTTTAGAAGCAGAGTCCAATGAGCCTCTCTCCTGAGACCCTGGGACCGGGAGCAGTGAAGTGGCCGAGAGCCGTGGACAATCCCTCGGCCTCCCGCCCCCACGGGCCCTTCCTCCTGCCCCTCCCTCCTGGTTCCAGAGCTCCACATGTCCCGTGGGATCTGGTGGCCCCGCTGCGCTGACTGCGGGGCTCAGGTGGCGTGGTGTGTCACACCCGGCTCTTGGTTTCTGCATGAAAACCCAGGCCAGGGCCGCACTGTCTGTGGCGGCTGCAGAGACAGCTGTGTTCTGGAGCCCAAGGAGGCAGACCGCTGGCTGCTGGGCTTCTCTGGACCCTGGGGCCCCCATCCATCGCCACTGAGCCCCTGGCCTGGGCAGGAGACCGGACTCGCCCTGGGCACCTTCTGGGCTGAGAGCAGGAGCTCCCACTCTGGCGGCTCCAGCCATTCCTGCCTGGCCCACGGGGATGGGGGGATGGGAGGGCCTGGTGCATGGGGATGGGGGGATGGGAGAGCCTGGCCCACGGGGGATGGGGGGATGGGAGGGCAGAGAGAGCTGAGGGCAGAGAGCACCTGTGCTGAAGGCCAGGGGTGGGGCGGGACCTCGTGGAGAAGACGGGCTCTGAGCAGGGCCTGGAGGGACAGTGGGATGTTAGGAGTGGAGGGGATTTTGGAGGAAGGAGCGGTCAGAGTAAAGGCCGGGGACTCATGGCACCTGCTTTGGGGTAAGAGGGAGCCCGACGCATGGAAGAGACCCCGGAAAGCTGCAGCCTGTCCGCTGGGAGCCAGCTCTGCGGTCCCCAGGAGGCGAGCCGGGCCTGGTCGCCCGCGGTAGGGACGTGGGTGGACACACCCTTCACCGGCTCCGGCCGGCTCTCTTCACCTGCCAGGCAGACTCTTCAGTGCTCTGAAGGAAGTGCCTGCATTAGGTCGATTCAGTGGGCATTGAATTCGGGGTCAGACTTCACTGGGGGCTGATACTTATTCCTCATTTTCCCCGCTTTGCCCATTAGCCGCTTCCGAAGCCTCGAAGTCCTTTCCTGTTTCCACGCGTTGCGGTTCCCTCCGCCTGCAGCGCCCCGTCTTCTTCCTCCCGCCGTTCTCTCTCCCGGTTCAGTGGGTGTGACCTCCTGGGCTCAGTTGCTCCCACAGCCTCAGTTAGTTCCCGGGGTACAGCCCGTAGGTTATATTCTCCTTTTGCTTATGGGGCTCCTGCACTTACCCTGCGCTCCCTAAGGGCAGGGGCCGGGCACCAAGTAGCCCCGCAGCCGCTCGACCCCTGGCGGTGCCTCCCGGCTTGGGCACTGCCTGCTGGGCTTGGATCCTGGATGTGGTTAGGAGAAAGGAGCCACGGAAAATGGGCTGAGGCGGCCCTGGCAGAGGCAGGAGCTGGGCTTCTCGGGCAGGTTTTGTGCCTCCAGGGCCCCTCTAGCCCCCGGGGGACCTGGCCGTCTATTTTTGGGCCAGGAATAGCCCTGCCATTTTATTTTTTTTTAAATATATTTTTATTGATTTCAGAGAGGAAGGGAGAGGGAGAGAGAGAGAGAGATACAAAAATCAATGATGAGAGAGAATCATGGATCGTCTGCCTCCTGCATGCCCCCTCCTGGGGATCGAGCCCACAACCCGGGCGTGCGCCCTGACCAGGAATTGAACCGTGACCGCCTGGTTCCTAGGTGGACACTTAACCACAGAGCCGCACCGGTGGGCGTGGCTGTTTGATTTTTGCAGAGCGCTTAGGGTTTTATTTTCTTGGACTTGTCTTGAGGTAGCATTTACCTTTTCTTTTCTTTTTTTTTTTTGCAGGCTGGTTGACGATCGCTGTGTTGTGCAGCCGGAAACTGGAGACCTAAACAATCCGCCCAAGAAGTTCAGAGGTAAGGCGGCCACCTCCCTGGAGAGGGCGGCTTCCTCCCTGGAAAATTCATGAAGCGGCCGCGGTGTGTGTGTTTTTTAAAGCAGTTGGGGGTTTATTTACTTACGTATATTTTTAAAAGTCGGGTTTCCATCCGGAGCCTTTGGACCTCTTGAGCATGCCTGAGGAAGCTTGGGTCAGGGTGGGGGTGGCCAGGTCTCCACCTGCCCTGCCTGCCCATGGGAGGGGCCGGCTCTCCCCCAGGCCTCCTGATCTGGTGTCCTCGGGAGGCGGCTTCACGCGTCCCACGAGGGTGAGAGAGCTGGTGTGGTAGTTGGTAGAAAACATCGCGTCTGTCTTCGCCGTGGTCGGGGAGGCTCGGCTCTGGCTGCGAGGTTTTGATCAGGGAGCGACGTCGGGCAGGTGCTGGGGCCCGGCTGCAGCCTAGCCAGTGACGGGGGATGGGTACCCCGGCACCAGCTTTTCAAGGCTCCCCGAGTGGCTCAGGGTGGAGGGGTGGGCAGGCTCGGTGCCTGACGAGTGGCCTCAGTCCCACAGGGCGCACACCTTACTGCTTGCACATGACATCATTTGCGCTAGACATTCCTGTTAGGTGACTTAGAAACTGATGTTTTTGAGTCGAAGCCAAAGAAATTCGGATAAAATGGGAAGCAGGCGTTCAGGGGCAGAGAGGCTGGTGTTGGCTGTGTCCGCCCCTGGGGGCTGGTTGGAACAGAGAACGAGTGACAGGCCGGGTGACAGGACCCTCCGCTGTCTCCAGCCTCCTCCGTGTCTTCGTCCAGAGCCCGGTCGGTCCCAAACGCAGCGGAAGTGAGAGAGTGGTGCTGCCACTCCTAGTCCTGCCAGCCACAGAGCTCCCCCCGCTCTGAGGAGCAGGCGTGCCTCAGTTTACCTTTAACAGGCCGAGACTGGTGGCCTCGGAGCCATGGTTAGCGCACGGAGCTGCTGTCCACCTTGTGAGGGGACAGGAACCCGCCCCGGCGGAGTCAGGCAGCCTGTCCGGGGCCCCACAGCTGGCGGAGGGTGAGGCATCACCCGCGACTTTCAGAGGTGCCGGGCCTGAGTCCCACCCCAGGGAGTGTGATCTGGGTGGCCCAGGGCGCCTGTGTGCGAGCCGCTGGGGCGCCGCCTGCCGTCTTTGGGGTGTGCTGCTGCGCCCCTCCTTTTCTTGACAAGTTATTCCCTAACTTGGATTGGGGGCCCTTGCGGCCTGTGTTTAGGAAAATGGGAGCCAGAGGCCTGTTCATGCAAAGCCCCCCGTGGCTCCGACCTGGGTGTGGACTTTTGCAGGCCCCTCCCTCCTAACACCTGCTCCCCATTCGCTCGATAACCTCGGCCCCAGGACCAGGCTTCCTGGGGTCCAGTCCGAGTCCCACTCAGTCTTAGCCGTGTGACACGTGATTTATCGCCCAGCCTCCCTGACCCTTGGTTTTCTCATCTGTGAAATGGGAGGCTGGCCCCTGGTGAGGGCTCAGTATGCCTGGCTGTTCCTCTCCTTTTGTTTCCAGGCCCTGGGACGGAGCCTGGTAGCCCTCGGGCAAGGAGCTGCGTGTGACTGCTTAGCGATACGAGAAAAACTGTGTGTTGTTTCTCTTTTTGACTTTAGATGCTTTCCTGGGTGGGGGTGTGCCCCTGGGCCCCGGGGGCCTCAACTGGAGGCCCCCTGTTTCCGTACACAGGCCAGTGACTCGAGGGATGACTTAATTTCTCTGAGGTTCTTTCCTCGCCTGGAAGCTGGGGAGAGCAGCCCCTTCCCTATAGAGGGAACAGGGTTGCAGGCAGTACAGGTCAAGAGCCAGAGTGCTTGGTCCGCAAGACTCGCCCAGTGACCGGGATAGCTGTTAGTTTTCCTAATAGATGCAGTTGCTTGTTTCTGGTAAAAGCACATTTCTAAGGAGTTGCTTTTATTTTTATTTTTTGCAATTCCCTTGGCTGTGCCGCCCGCCCCTCACTGCATGTGCAGAAGAAGGGATTGGCCGCACGCCTGTTTCTCGTCCGCCAAGGCTTCTGCGTCACCGCTGCAGCTTCGAGCGTTTCTGTCTCGGGGGGAGGAGAAGCGCGGAGGTGCGGAAGGATTCGGGTCCCTGAGTCCTGGGGTGGCGGTGGCACTTTCGGGGTCCCTGGCCTACGGAAGGTGAGGCAGGGTCTCTCTCCTCCCTGATTGGTGTTGGCTTTGCCCAAGTCCCGAAAGAGCAGGGAAGGCAGACATCTGGTCGAAACCAGGAATAGAAACTCTGTGGTTAGTGAATTCCTTTCTCTGTGGGATCTTTCCCGTCCCCTCTCTTGCCCCTCCCCCCACAGTGACATCTTCTGCGAAGGGAAGAGGGAGCCCGGCAGCCAGTCCCCTTCCTGGTCCCAGGACCCTGCTGCTTTCTTTACTTTTCTTTTTAAAAAAATGTCTTCATTGACCTCAGAGAGGAAGGGAGAGAGAGTGAGCGATAGAAATATCAATGATGAGAAAGAATCATCTATGGGCTGCCTCCTGCACGCCCCACACTGGGGATCGAACCTGCAAGCCGGGCATGTGCCCTTGACCAGGAATCGAGGTTCATAGGTCGATGCTCAACCCCTGAGCCACGCCGGCCGCTGGTCCCTGCTGTTTCACCCTGACCTCAGGGCTGTGGAGCAGCGACAGGACGGGGGCTCTCGTGTGGCTCATGCCGCCTACGTGTGGTCCCCTTTTCTGGATCTTGATCGTCTCCCTTCGGTTCAAGGGGCTGACCTTGGCCCCTAATTCTTCCTCTTGTCCCAGGAGCTGCCATGTCCATGTCCCTGCGTCAGAGAGGTTTCAGCCTGTGGGAAGGCCTTCGTTCAGGAGAGCAGCTGTTTGAGGGAAACTCAGAGTCTGGGGGGTGGGCGGTGAGGAGGAAGGGGTGCTGTGATGCAGTCAGGGGTCTCTGAACTGAGAAGAGATGGAGCGTGTTCTAGATAAGTCTCTCCCATGTCCCTCGTTTCTTCTTTCTCCCCCATCCGCTTGGTTCCCCGCACAGCAATCAGGAAGCGAATGTGCAAATGCATGTGCAGCTCAGAGGCTTCGGGGCCCTGCTCTGCCCGCCGGCCGCGGCCTCGGTGACGGGCGGGGACGGCCCGGGGCGGTAACCACGGTCCCCTTGCTTTCAGGCGCCTTAGGGCTCCGTGGAGACACAGACCCACATCCCGAATAACAGGAGGCAGCATGAATACAGCACTTACTTTGTGCAGAGCATGTGTGGCTTTTCTCTCTTCACCCACGTCCCCCATCCACGAGGGGTGGGCATCGTGCCCCACTCTGCAGGCCGGCGTCTCGCCTCAGAGTGACCAGCATCCCTCCACGGACTCTCCGGCCCCTCTGTGCTCTTGGTGACGTGACAGCTTTGTGGGGGGACTTGAAGGAGAGGGGCCCTCTTTCTAACCGAGTGAGAGTATTTCAGTGTCGCCCCGCTTCCCTGGTCACCGTCGGCGTGGAGTCAGGCTGAGGCAGGTGCAGGAAAACCGAGACGGGCGGGGGCACCGTCTGCCGTGAGAGCCAGCGTCCAGCCAGCGTCCGCCACCCGAGGCCCTGAGCCCAGGGGGTGGGGGGGGGGATGGGGGAGCAGGAGAGTCATTTCCCCTCTCCAGGCCTCAGTGGCCCCGTCGGTAAGTGCAGCTCAGGTGAAATGACTCCCCAACACCCCCTGCAGCTTGGAACTGTGTGCTGGGGCTGGAGCCGGCCGGTGTCCATGTCCCAGAAAGCCTGGCGCACGGGGCCTTGGCCTCGGGGAGCCCCGGCCCCCCGGGCAGGCCCCTGTGTCTTTGGGCTGCAGGCCTTCTCTGTCAAGATAAGACGCATGCGTGGGACCAGCCAGGCCTTGCTCGGGGCCAGATGGGGACACAGCCAGGACACTGGGTGGCAGAGGTCCTGTGGACTGGGGGGGCCCTCGCCGGCTCCCTGGCTCAGCTGCCTTCACCGCACTTTGTCTTAATTGTTGCTAAGCAACGTTCTTTTTTTCTTCTTCCGTAGGCAAAGCATGCGAGGAATGAACTCATATCTCATTTAGTTTTAAATACTCACATGCAACGGGGGTAGGGGGCTAATTTCACATTTTTTGCGTGATTTTGGTTCTAAGCTGTGATGGGCCTTAAGCGGAGGGGGGTGGCCGGGGGGAGGGGACAGCAGGGCTGGGCTTCTGCCGTCTGGGGAAATAAGGCGGAAACACAGCCTATTTAGGTGCGTGTCCAGCAGGGGCCCCGGGGACTGGAGGTGTGTGGGGGCCGCTGTGCGCTCTGTGGGGAAGTCTCCTGCAGCCTGTACTGTGTTCAGAAAATCCTCTCGAATTTAATAAAAAGATTAGTAGGTTTTAAATAACCCTCATTTCAGGTTTACCAGCTTAGCTGTCTCCCACGGACAGACTCTGCTGGGAGGGAACACTCTGTCATTTACATCAGTCCCCGAGGCAGGGATGCTTGCAGCGGCACACGCCACGGGGATGGTGCCCGAGGCTCGACTGTGCTGGCGCCCACGCGCTCCTCGCCCCTCGCTGGCTCTCTGCCCACGTGCCCGAGCTTCGAGGTGCATGTCTGCGGTGCTGGGCGTGCCGGGCATGCTGGGCACGGGCATGGGCAGGGACAGCCGATGCCCTCGGTGTCCAGACAGCTTCCTTGTTGGACACCGAGTCACCCATGGAGTGGAGACCCCAGACCCCGCCTGGTGTCCTTTGACCTGTAACAGCTCATCTGCTAACAGAGAACAGATTTCAGCTCTGGAGACAGAGGCTGCCTTCAGTGCCACAGAGGCATTGACGCTGTCATCCGATTGAGTCTCAGCATTGCCCCCGTGGCTTCCTTCACGAGGGCAAGGCTGGTGGGGACGGGGGTGGGGGTGGGCAGGGGTCCTGGGACCATTCGTCTCCTGGGAGGAGCGCCAGGCTTCTCTGATCTCCCCTGCAGCTCTGATGAGGTCGGGTTGAGTCACTTGAGTGTATGAGAACGTGTCCTTTCTTCACAGACGGGGAGATGAGACGTAGGAAGTGTCCGGAGTCCAAG